TCGATTAAGGAGGTCCCTTGGCTTTGAATTTTATAGGTTTATTGGTAAGCAAAAATTTTGAAATAGGCTCGGGAAAAGAACCAGTTAACTTTTCAAGATCTTATGATTCCATTGTCGATATTTATCATTTTATCAATCTCAAGTTATAAGGTAGCCTTGACTTTGACATGAAAACTTATTAACAACTAGAATTAGGGTTGCAATCGAGTTGCATATATAATATATTAGACTTAGTTTGATCATACTCCTAGTTGGTCATGTTCATTTCTAGCTTGATCTTTCACATGTTTTTTCATATTTTGCTTGCTTAAATTTTTTAAATAATCATACTTGATTTATATTTTGCTTGCCCGAATTTATTTAAAAAGTACTAAAGTGAGCTAATAAATAAGATGCAAATTTAAGCGGGTATTTCACTTATCATATTAATTAATAAATTTTCATAAATAACTGGTCAATTTAATAAATTCAAAATTAGTTTCTGACCACACGACACCAACTAAATAAGATAATGTGTAAGTATGAGTAAAGTTTTTTGCAATCATGTAATATAAATAATTATGAACAAATTTGTTCATTGAAATAGAAAAATAAGAAAATAATTGCATTAAATTTGTATGCAGATTCACAAAAAAATTGTTAATTAATTTAAAAATATCAAAAGTTTGGAATTAAATTGAAAAACTTATCTTCACATTAATCAAGATATAGATTCATTAATGATGAATTAATAATAATGTTGAAATCTAATATAGTTGATTAAATTATTAAAAATTTATTCTTTATGTTTTGAAGTTAAAACTTATTGTTTCCAAATTATTTTCAACATTCTATTAAATAAAATTTTAAATACATATTTAAATTATTATCTTAATATTTATAGAAATAAACAAACACATATAATTAATTATAAAATACTATTGTTATTAAATTATGATATATTACTATCATTAGTAATTATGCAATTTATAGTTAATCAAGTTTTCATTAAATGATATACATGTTATTATTGATGTTAATATTAAGCCTTTAATAAGTTGATTATTGAACATCACACGAGCTTGTTTGTAAACATTAATAAAGTAGTAGGATTGTGTTTGAGTTTGATTCATTTAGTCTTTGAGTTATCAAAAATATTCAAATTTGTTTAATTACTACTTCTATGAACTTGAACAAATATTTGTCGAGCCGACTTTAAGTAGTTCATCAAGTGCGTTGGTTCATTTATAGTCCTAACAATGAGTTACCTAATCAAAGTAATTTTCCAATTAATTGAAGTTTAAGGGTGTCCGATTATGATTTGTAGATCAGGCCTCACCTAGCTCATGAAATTTTGACTGCATGAGGCCTTGAGCTCTAGGTTAATGTTTTTGACCTTATTTCATTAGTCTTTGTGTGAGGTTTTGCTGAAATTTGTAATAAGTTGGTTTTTTCTTATCGAAGAATAAGTTCTTAGAACAAAGCCTTAAATGCCTTAAAAAGTTTTGGCAAAATTGTTATTTGGCTCTAGGCAGTCAAAGCAACACCTTGATCGTGTTGAATTGTGTTTAAGACCTAGTCCTTATTATTGTCGAATCTTTAGAGCAACTTGGTTTGATTTTGTGCTAGAATAAAATCCTTTGGGCATAATATTCAGTAGCCAGGAGATCCTTCATAGAAGAGGAATTTGGCACTTTGTTCTCTAACAAATGTCTTGAGCTTTTCGTTTTAATATTTTGATTTTGGGATAATATCACAGTGAGGAGAAGCAATGCTACCTTAGCAACTTCTGAAGTCAACTGTTAACTCAAGATGCCTTGGCGATCTCAATAACGGCTATTAATACCCTTGAATGCCTATTTTTGCTTTGAGAGGCAATCAAGATACAGGCACATTTTTTAAAGCTATTTCTTTTCAAGTTGATTTGGCACGCACTTCGGGGTTAGTGCACCAAATCTTTTTGTATTAAAATCTGTCAACTGTATGTGCAGAGGGCAAAACTATTATATATTTTATAGAAAATTTTCGTTTTATTTTTTTTTTCCTTTCTCATTATTTAAAGAATTTTATGGAATTTAGGTGTTTTGAAATACTTAAAATGTATAGAAATGTAAGTTTTGCAAGTTGGAACCTCTGTTAATATTAATTTTTGTTATTTTGGGGCTGTTTTTTTTTTTTTAAATTATGATGCTCAAGGATTTTAACAACTGTAAAGTCTTTTTATTATTTTTAGATTTAAGAATAAGGTCCGTTTGGGGCAGCTTATAAGTGCCGGCAGTGTTTTCAAAACGCCGCCGTACCGTTTGGTTCGCGCGTTTTGTCAGCTTATCCGAAACTGTGTTTGGGCTTTTACACTAAACGCAGACCGCGGGTCGACCCCCGTGGCCGGCCCGCGAGCCGCGTTTCAGGATAAACAACTTATCCTGAAACGCACAAGCTACCTCAAACAGGCAAACGGACCTAAATCTAAGGTATATTTGCAATTGCATTAGGTATAATATGTATTTTTTTATTTTTCTTAATTCATTATTTAGAAAATAATGATGTTGTTGATCTGAAGCATGCCGCATGCGGTCTTTGATGTTGACACACATAAGCTTCTAATGAGGTGAATTATGGTATCACTAAGTGGTATTATGTGGCAATTGTGAGGGTTTACAAGGCTTGTTTTGGGTTGACAAGTCCTACAATCATGGGATCCATTTGTTGGTGTGGCCTAATGAGAGGCTGACATAGTGCTGATGTGCAGACGTTTGGGATGCTCTTTATTGACTGGCAATCAGCTTTAGTGGCCTCCACCAAGCCAGGTGGCTGACCAAGAATCGACCACATCATGTGATATGGTTATCCCTTTCCTGGCCTAAGCTGGTGTGTTAGTGACCATTGTCCCCATTAATCCAATACTAAGTGTGCCATGTTGCTAGGCGGGCTTACCTAAGGGAGATTGTTGGCATGCCTTAATAGGTTATTCTGTTCTTAACTTGTCACTTTCATCCTAAATAGGTTGTGGCTTAGTTGATTGATACTGCTCCACCTTGACAATGGCATATATTAGATTGGCCCAGATGCCCATTGATTTAGAGGGCAAATATGAAGGACATTGATGCTGGGCTTCTTGATGCAGAAACAACCGCGTGATCCTTTGACGTGGGCATCTCACTCGTTACTCTAGACCAGCGCCGAATTGGGCCTAGACTACCTGGGACCGAACTGGTCATGACCTAAGAGAGCTGACCGGCTCTTTCATGATGGTTTTACTACTTTCCATAGAGGGACCCAATCCAAGTTATCTAGGGCTTATACATTTGATTCCTGTGTTTTACGTTTTCAGTTTTGATTGCGAATCTGTCAGGAGAGGGGTTGGCATCCCGTATTTTCCTTTCTAGGGATGTATGCGAATATTGCTTCGGCTGTATCTCGTTCCGAGGTGGGGTTATCTTCTAAAGGGTAGAGTGTTGCTCCGGTTGTATCTCGCACTCAAGGTGGTATCTTCTAAGTGCAGAGTGGTGCTCCGGCTGTATCTCGCTCTTAGAGTGGTATTTCTCCTTCCCCAACTTATCCACAACCTTTCTTCTGTTGTCGCCACCACCATCTTTACTGCAGCCACAGGAAAACAACCCCTCCTTGGCTGTTTTTCTGCGGTCCCTGCCTTTCCAACCACCATATTCTTCCCCACAACATTCCCCGGTGTACCCCCCCACCTTCCTTGCTGCAGCCGCCCATAGACAGCATTCCTAGGGTGTGATCCATGATCCTGCGGCCACCCGCAGCTTTACCATTCCAGCTGCCCAGCCACCCATTTCCCCCATTTCTGTTGGCTACCTTCGCCGTCCGCAGCTTTACCATTTCCCCCATTTCTGTTGGCTACCTTCGCCGTCCCAACCTCTTCATTGGGTAGCTGTCTCCCAGGACTGCCTCTATTTTTCTGTAGTCCAGCCTCATTCCTATCCTACCACAACCTTTCCAAGCTCCCTACGACCTTCACCACCACCTTGAAGTCACCCTTGTCAGGAGTGTGTCGTAGTCATTATTTTCTATTTTTTATTTGTGTGGTTGTAATTCCCTAGTTGAAATCAACACTAATATTTAATTTTTCCTATTGTGATTTGGTTAACTCCTGAACCAGACCTAGTTACCAATATGGTTGAAGATTGAATTGAGCAGCCTGATGACCATCTTGGATATTTTTGGCATCTGTAAGGCTCAAGTTGCCAGTGATTAGGGAATGCTATGGAAGGATGGACGAACAAGATCAAGAAGTTACAGAGAGGCGAAGAAGGAATACAAAATGCGGAACCTTAGGGAGCTTAATAGCCTATAGAGGAGTTCTTTATGAATTTTGGTTAATTTTGAGTGCCTTTCGGTTGTAATGGTTGCTAAGAGGAGACCAAGCAATCTCAAAAGAGGCTGTGAAGATTCATTTGATGCGCGTGAGAAAAACAGTGAGGTTACTAGGATTTTCTATGGTGTTTCCAGAGAGGCAGCCTGGTGGTAAGGTCAATGTTTTTTATTTCCTTTGTTGTTTGTTATTTATTTTGAAGCATTTGCATGGGTGGTACTTGTAGAAACTTGGGTAACGTGGGGGATGCTCCCAAGATGTTTGAAAGGAAGTCAATGTACTTGAGAAAGCGAGATGAGGTCACTGGTACTGTGTAGTGGCAGTGCATTGCTTTGTAATTCTTGATCTATTATGGACGATGGTCCACAGAATTGGGGCCATTAACTCTCCATTCTTTTCTTTTCTTATATAACCAGCTAAATTTGATTAAAAATTGGGAAATTTTGTTAAAATATTCTGAAAATTTGGGTTTCTTCTTCAAGTGACTAACTCAACTTGCTTATGCATGTAACCTGCTAATCACCTTGCTTTAACTACTTGAGTTTTGTTTAATTAACTGTTTCAAAATTCCAAATTGGTGAATACTAAGTTATGTCATGTAACGAGAAAGACTAGTCTCATCAGTAGCAACTGTGAACTGACATAACTAGATTATAAACTATTGTAAATTGTTTCTTTACAGGTCATTTAACATCTTACTTGGAGGTTTTCTTCCTCTCAGATTAGCTCCAGTAATTGGAATCATCGTCTTTTCTGTATGGGGTCTTGGGCTCATGCTTTATGGGAGGAATATCTTTCAAGTATATATCTTATGCTGATAATGGTTTTGACCATTCTCCTTAGAGACATGAACTTGACTAGTTAGTTATAAGTTTTATATTTAAAAAAAATGTCCTTTCTCCCCTGCAGAATGACAATAATTCTCAAAAGACTGGAACACATTTCGCCTTTGACTCTTATCTACAACCCTTACTATTTTGGACTGGAGCAATATTGGCTTGCAGGCATGTAAAAAATTTAGCATCTACATATTTGTGATTAACAAATATTTTTTCCATTTGCCAAGGATATTTACCCTTTTTTGTGCATTTAACAGAACAATGGATTTTATTGTTCTTCCATCAAAAGCAAGCCATGCTGTCAAGCAACGCCTTCTGACCTTTGTAAGATCATCATCCACTGTGCTGACTTTCGCATTTTGTCTTTCATGGTAAGTTTCTTGGTTTATTTCTCAAGTAATCTTTGACGTTTGACTGATGTATATTCTTACTTTTGTGAACTCTTTAACTGTTAAACTTGCAGCTTGGAACTTTGTTTAGAGTAGTTTTGCTTGGTTCTTGCTTTCATTCTCACATGCTATTTATTGCGTACTTTCTTACATGTCTGTCTCAGTTTTTTTCTTCATATATATGATAGGCTTTGATTTTTATCATAGCTGCCTTTTGGTGGCCCTACTAAAGGGCTTTTGCCTTCTAAGGATTTATAATTAGATGATTTGTGGTAGTTAAGCTGCTTTGTTTCTCTCTCTCTTTTTCCTGTTAAATTGGTTTTCTTCATTGTCTTTTAATTAGTACCTTAACAACCTGATCTGATTTGGCTCAGAAATTGAGACGATTTTTCGCAGAAGTTAGGGCAAATCAAATATTTTTCTTCAATAATCCAAGTAACTCAACAAGAATACATAAAAGATAAGCACCTACAATTTGAGTTGTAGGCGAGCTCTCCCAAATCATACAATTCGAAAGGTAAGAAATCTCTCCTAAACCCTAAACCTAAGACTTCCAAAAATAATCTCATGCATCCTCCAAGTCTATTAAGACCTATTTATAGCAAATAAGAATAAATAATAAAAGACTCAATTCCTCATAGGAGCAAAAAATACAAAATTTCGCTCAGGCTAGGCACTGTTTTAACAATACTCCCCTCCCAAAAGACAATTTGTCATCAAGGTGGGAAAAAATGAAGGTGTTCCTCCACAATTTTTTTCCTCCAACTCCTAACTATCTGTCTCCTCTCCTTCACAAACTAAAAGGACCTGGAGCATGCGATCCTTGCGCCAATGTTGTGGGGCTTATTTCTCATTATATCAAAAAGATAATCCATTCGTTGTCTTGCCGTGCACCTCTGCCTCTGTGAGACGCTTGAAGTTTCTCTTGGGACGGGCTCCTTTATTCTTCTTCTTTGACATCTTTTTCTTGGATGACATCTTCTTCTTGGATAACATCATCTGGGTCCTAGGTGTCATGGTTGTCAGGTTACTCTTGTGGAATTCTTTCATATTGCTATTTTTACTGGTATTCTTCATCGGGCTCTTAACTTCCACAATCTGGGCTAACTCCATCATCTCCCCAATTCTACACGGTCTCAATAGTTTGAGTGTTGCCTGTATGTCGGACTTTAGGCCCTCCATGATGTTTTCTTTCAATCCTGCTTCAGAAATCCCCCTCAACCATCTCGACAATAGCTCAAATCTCTCCCTATATTTCATGACAATCCTCACTCTAGATAAGACATAGAATTGCTTGTGTAGCTCTCCTTTCTGAATGGCTCAGAAAAGTTCTAACAAACAATTCTTAAATTCCTCCTACGAAAGAATCGTGTATCTAGTCTCTCTATTGAAACCAAGTTAGGGCTTTCTCCTCCAAACATAACCCTGCCTCCATGAGTTTCTCCTCCTCTTCTAGCCCATTTACCGTGAAGTAGCACCCTATGCAATACACCCACTCATGTGTGTCTTCGCCCCCAAAGTTCAACATCTTCAACTTCACCATACCTCATCCCGAATTCTCTCATTTTCTCTTCGTGCTCCTCCCTCACCCTTGCATAATCCATTCTCCATGTTTCGACCAGTTGCCTCCATCAGAACTCTTTAATCCATCTCACGTTGGAACCTTCGGAGGAGATTCTTGACGGTGGATGTTTGCCTCCTCACGTTCCTCTCACTCAATCTCTTTCTCTTTTGATTTAGCCAATGAATCTCCTGTCAACCCTTGGTTAGGGTTCACAAACTGACCCGCCGACGGGGTGTTAGATTGCATCTCGACGAGCCTCCTCATTTCTTCTCCAAGCACTCAAATCGTTTTTCTAATGAAGAAAACCTATTGTCCATGGAGGAAAACTTTTCTTCTATTGTGGGAAACTTTTCATCTATCCCAAATTTAATTTGGTTCATCTCTTTCTTCAATTTTTTCTCTAAATCATCTACCTTCTCAACTTCCATCTCTCAAGACGATTTCCAATCACGAAGGCTTCCACTGATTTGCATGGAGCTCTTGTACGCCGCAATCCCGATCATGAGGTTCAATCACTAGCGACAAGGGCACGAAATTCCTTAAAAATTGGAGTTTTAGGTCATGCATAATTATTGAAAGATCGGTGTTTTTGGACTTTGTAGGCCGTGATCCAGTCACGCAGGAGATCAGTCACGAGGTGCAAGGTCCGGTCATGCAGGTGATCGATCACGAATGTGTGAGATCCGATCATGCAAGAGATCACTGCACGTTGTGCTCCTATTGATGCTGAAATCCTGTTCCTTAGCTTCCCAACTAGGTTAAATCGTAACCGTTATAAGCCTCTATCGCGCCGTTTGCTCCCCAATGAGCTGTAATCATGACTGTTTGGCAAAGTTTGGTCATGAAGGCCTCCCATCGCTTGTACCTATGACATTGCGATCCCTTCTGTGGACGAATCTGCAGCTATGTACGCCTCTAACCAAAGTCTTGTCGATTTGAACATGATACAAAGATTTCAGCACAAATACAAGGTTGCTGCAGCGGTTGAATGCTCTGATACCAATTTGATACGATTTGTCTTGGAAATCAACGATTTTCCACAGTAATAAGGGCAAAGCAAGTTTTTCTTTGGTAATTCAAATAACTCAATACAAATCTATAAAAAATAAGCACCTACAATTCGAGAGGTAGCTGAGCTATCCTAAATCCTATAATTTGAAAGGTTGGAAATCTATCCCAAATTCTAAACCTAAGACTCATAACAATAATCTCATCCCCCCATCCTAAGCCTAAAAGGGTATATTTATAACAAACAATAAAAGATTCAACTGCTCTTAGGCGCATAAAAAACAAAATTGCTCTTAGGCTTGGTACCGGCGCAACATAGGCTTACTGGATATGTGTTTTGCTGAATGCTGATAAATGGAGCTGTGCACATGCTTCTATTTTTCCCTTCTTGACCTTATCTTTCGATTGTAATAATTATCATTGCCCTTATTTTCTTATCACATGATGTTTCTTGTAAAAATAGATCTTGAATGACCCCTGTTATGATGGCATACGACTACACACTTTTTTGCTGCGCTTCTTGACTTTCCCATGGATTATAAAAATGATCATTGCTCTTATTTTTTCATTGATTATGTTATTCTATTTAATATATATTGTAAAAATGGATCTAAAATGGACCATATTATGTATTTATATATGATCCATGAGCTTATGACTGTCTATGAGTATGCATATGGGTTGCAATTTTAAACCTAGGGACGTGCTTTGATTATTTTAACTTATTTTCTGCATCAAGGAAACATTGATTTATGGTTTTGAAAAACAAAGCATTTTTTTATTCCATTTTTCTGTCCAAGATTTTTGAATCGGTTTCACTTGAACTTTTTAATTTTTTATGGTGTGAACTAATCTAAATTTTTTTCATTATTACTGGTTGAAACCACTTTCATCACGAGCAGCGTGATTCAGCGGACTCAGAAATTCTTTATGAAGAAGAACAGCAGCTCTGATGATGCAAGAAATGTATGAAAATTTTCCCTTTGTCGTTGACATCAAGTAATGCTGGTCATTAAAAGCATCACTTGTTGTATCATGTTCATTTAAATATACTGCTTAGAAGTATTGCATTGACCATTTACTTAGATGAGATGATTACAATTATGTATCTTTTGGTACTTAATGTCTAAATTTGTTTAAATATAAGAAAGGTCCTCCCTTTTCTCATATAAGAATCTTTGTATTGCTTTTTTTTTCCTTTTGAGGATAAAAACCCATTTCAAATGTTTTTATTAATTGAAATTAGAGTGCAAGGCCCATTATAGATAAGTACGCCTTAAGTTAGTTGCACATAAGAAGGGCACAAGGGCCACTACGGATCTATTTTACAAATATTAACTATTTAGTTTTTAATTTAAAGAAAACACAGATCGGATTTAAACTAGTGGCCTCTTTCTAGGAAATAAAGAGCATTTTGCTTGAGTTAATATCTCTGTATTGCCTTTCATTAAATAAAAATGATGAAGCAATTTGCTGCGGGAGTATTTGGGTTCATGTATTTTTTTTTAATCCTTACAGGTTAGTAAATTTTTTTCTTCAATATTTAAGATTTTGAATTCATATTGCTTGAAATTAAAGAGTTAATAGATAATCTTCGGGCATGATATTACAAAATATTGGGCATCCATAATTTCTTCAGGAATCTAAGTGGGAATTTTTGGATGAAAAACTGATACTCGGCTTTAACAGGAAGTCCAAATATATTCCAAAGATTGAAGCTCCAGTATGTAGAATTTAGGATAAGTTATTGTTCAGCACTTCATGACAAGTGGCGGTTGAATAAGTTCTTTAAGATGCTTTTTAGTCAAAATATAGACTCATGGTTACATTTTCTTCCCTAGCTGAAATTGCCTTGTAGAACAGTCGATTGCTTGACATATTTTGTTTATTCAAAGTATAAACTCATTGCTACATTATATTTTGCTTACTAAAATTCTTCTGTGAAGGTGTTTCATTTTATTGAAATTCCTCTGCAGTTTTTGACTGATGATAAGGTAGGACCTTGTTTCTCTGTCCAAGCTAATAACACCGATCACCCATGTTAAAACCCGGCAAAAAGTCAGATCAATGATATTTTTCACACTCAGCACAAAGTTCCATGGTTTTACTGGCTATACCGCTACTAACCCTAAATAATGATAGACTTGGTTTTCAATCAATTTGAACTTTATGACTTAGTATATTGCTTTATTTGGCGCTCTTTCTTTTATGCAAATCTCTGCTCTTCTGAGTGATTTGAAAGGCAAATCTTTACTCTATTTGACCTTTTCATAAGTAATGAATAATCATCAATCCTTACCAATATTAAAGGCTGCCTAATCACATCAAACCTAGTTTATTTGAAATTAGTCATTGTGCATATCTCAATAGTGTTGTAAATTATGTCTCCTATTACATGACATATTTATCTTCTTATGCGGACTTATAAATTTATCTTGCATATGCATTTGCACAAAAGAGGTACAAACTACCTCTCTAAAATTATTATAAAAATTTCTCATTTGACCAATATATTGGACATGCCTCCCAACTTTTCTGTGTCGCCCTTCAACACCTTTTCGCTTCTCCATGTAATGTGAATTCTTTCCTTCCACCAGCCCATGTAACCTGAATACCCTCCTAGTGGAAGAGGACATACATTATGGTATATTTTCAATACATAGTAGTTAATTTGTACTTCATTTGGTCATTTAATTCTTGTAAATAATGGCGATTATATGCCTTGAACCAACTTCCAAGTATTTATCCATTAAGGTGTTACTTATACTAGATTAAGTGATGTGGAGCTAGGGGGCTGAACCAGACAGTTCAACAAGGGGGCTGGTTGAGCAGAAAGTGGCACGGAGTTGTCTGAACCTATTTTAGGGTTAGGGTTGCCGCCCAAGGGGAGGAGTTTTTCTCTCATAATTATCTATTATATATATGTTATTTTATATTTAGGTTCTGTGTTTTCTATCAGCACAACCATTGGTGTCCCCCATTTTCCCTCGTAGGGTTGTATCTGAGGGCGAGTGGTGCTTCGACTATTTCTCACTCAGAGACAGTGATTATTCTTGACTTTTCCATCATCTGCAACCCTCCGCTATCGCAACCGTCTGACACCGCAGTCCACTTCGCGACCACCTTCCAAATCAACATCCATCTGCCATCGCCTCCCAGACCCATCTCCCACTCCCTGCGCCTACATCCCACACTTACTGCGTTAGCCGCCAATTCCCCCATTCATATCTTAGCCTTTCTCCTATCACCTATTTACATCCCATCCAAGAGCAGGTTTGCCACAGCTTGTTCCCAACCTACCACCCTTCTACTCGATCTCCAACTAACCCTCCTTCACCTTCTTGTCCAACAGCCCCTGCTGCTGCCGCACCCCACACCAACTCTCCTTCCACTACTGCAACCTCATAGCCAACCAACCAACTGATTTTCAGTCGGCGTTCACCATTTTTGTAACCCCTACTACTTTCAACAATAAGATTTGCATTTCTTTGTGGTTTGGATTAACTCTGATATCATTTGGTATCAGAACTAGTCTAACTGTATTTAAAATTTTGAATTTTACTCATAAAAAAAAATTTGTTTGTGTCTTCTAGATACATCAATTTAATTCTACGATGATGATTTCTAATATTCTTTATTTGTATTCCTATCTCAAGGTTTCCTAGTACCCACCATACCCAAACCATCCCCACCAAATTTTTTTTCTTTCCTGCCACCAAATACTCTTTTAACTGCCATAAATTCCAAATCCTAACAATGCCACCAAGGAGATTCGTGCCCGAGCTTACCCGGAAAGAGATACAACGAGAGCTTCGTCATCTTAAGCAGAAGCTTGCAGAGATTGATGATGGAACTGTTAAGGAGATTACCCTCAATCTTGATATGGAGATTCGAAGGGGAGAAAAGGACGAGATCTGAATCCATTCCGTACGGATGACTTGAGTGATGAGGAAGACAAACCTCGATGCTTCAGAATTCATTATCAGAGGAGAGAACAGAGAGATTTCAAAATAAAAGTGGCTCTACCAGAGTTAGCTAGGGGTATGGCTCCAAACAATTTCATCGAATGACTACAGTCAGCTGAGAGGATATTCGAGTATAAAAAGGTGTCAGGAGATAAAAAGTAAAACTTGCAGTCATCAAACTGAAAAAGCGTGCCTCCTTGGGGTGGGAAAACCTGTAGAGGTAGAAAAAGAGAAAAAACAATGATAAGATTACCATATGAGCAAAGATGAGAAAGGATATGCAGATAAAATACATACCTAATTAGTGCCAAGATTTGTTTCTGAGACTCCACCACTTACAACAGATATAATACACAGTTTGTCCAATTGCAGATAAAATGTGAGTTGTCGAACCAAAGGAATATTCCATGGCGTGATATTTGGGGTTTTGAAGCCCGTAATCAACAATGTTGTGTAGTTGCAACTCTGTTGGTCATTGTGAGATGTCCAAATCTTAGCCCTGAAGGTGTAGAGACAACAAAAACAGAGCAAACAACCACCATCATTCTGACAGTCATCCACAGTTGGAGACATCATCAGGAGCACGTCTCATGGAGTTGAGAAAACTGGTTCGAATAAGGACAGAGCCATTTCGAGTGAGAAGCTCGAGAAGAGTAGCATTCCTACTATAGTCCCACCTGAAAATGCCTTCGATGCCATGGATTTGGGCACATCACCTTTAGTTGCCTGACGAATCATGTTGTCTTTTACCCAGTAGGGCGCAGTGGATGAGATTATTGACGAGGAGGTTTTTGAATAGCATGGTGAGGTGTATCATCTTCCACTGGATAAGGGCGAGATGCACGCGGTTCAACGGGTCTTATATATTAAGGATACGAGGGATCTGCAGTGGCTTTGCCACAACATATTGTACACCCATTGCACAGTGAACGAAAATGTATGCAGTTTCATCATCGATGGAGGGATAAACAAGAATGTATCGACTACGCAGATGGTGGAGAAATTGAGCCTCATGACTCAAAGACATTCCCAACCATATTCTTTGATGTGTCTGAAGAAGTAAAATAGGGCCAACATTGGTCGGAGGTGCCTAGTGGAGTTTTCGATTGGAAGACAGTTGCAAGATTAAATGTGGTGTAGCGTGGTACCCATGGATGTATACCACATTTTGTTGGGTAAATCGGGATAAGTTGACGGTAAGAATCAACGTGATGGATTTATAAATATTTATTCTTTTGTCAAGGAAGAGAAGCACATCATCCTTCTCCCTTCTGCAAAGCTCGACATCATAAGTACCCTTGCCAGCATTGCAGGGTCGGTGGGACCAGTTTTGGTGACAACACAGGATGATATGACCGAGTCATCGATTCCAGACATGGGACAGTCATGACAAAGAGCATTTCAAGACATCACTATTGATATTACTGTCATGACCACCACCATTCGGGGGAGGTTCAGGTTACACTCACTTTAGACCTTGGGCTATTTTAGGAAAATTCCACACTATATGCGTGTCGTGCAACCCCAGAAGGTTGGACCGATATGGATGTATGCTCGCAAGTGGAGAATGCTCCTCCGATATTTTGGGAGAGACTGCAGTCGATAGTAGGATCCGAGTGCTAATAGGACCGCCGTCGAAGATCCTTCAGCCCAGAGAGGTTACAACAGCTCCATCACTGACAGGAAGGCAAAAGCTTTAATCAATGAGGTTGAAGCTCCCCCTATCCCGATAGATTGATGCGGGGCTCTAAACCAGCCGTCCGGTGGAGCAGAAAGCTACAAGGGGCGGATTTAACCATTTTTTGGGGTTAGAGTTGCCACTCAAGCGGGAGATGTTTTCCTCTCCTGGTTATCTACTATTTATATGTTTTATGTTTTAGGCTTTCAATTTTTACCGTGTTTCTGTCAAAACAGCCGTCAGTGTCACCTGTTTTCTCTCTTAGGTTGTTACTATGTACAAGTAACGCTCCGACTATATCTCGCTCTGAAGTGGTGATTGTC